ATTAACTGTAATTTTTATGTTCAACTGAAATACATCTTAACTATAATTTTTATTGGCCTCTCAAGAGTGTCATAAATTAAGCCTAATCATTCACATATTATTCCATCAGATGTGGAAAGCCCATTCCTGTGCTTTCTGACCCTGCCACAAAATCTTTTCTTTTCTTCTCCCTTTAGTGTTCCCCTGAGACCAACATAGTACAACAGAACCACCTTTGGCGATAGAAATTTCTGTATCAGTAACTTGCAAACTATAGCCCACAAACTAAATCCAGCTCATTGCTTCATTTTGTGCTGCCCATGAGTGAACAATGGTATTTTTGCATTTTTAAGTGACTGAAGAAAAATCAAGAGAATATTTCGTGATACACAAAAATTATATGAAACTCAAATTTTTTTATCCATAAGCAGTTTTATTGGAACACACCCATGCTCATTTTTGTACATGTTGTCCAGCTGATTTTGCATTGTATCAGCCGAATTGAATAGTTGTGACAGAGACCTTCGGGCCCCCAAAATCAATACCTGTTTCAATACCTGTTTCTATATACTGTCTATATGATAGCTACTAGCCAAATGTGGCTTTTGAGCACTCGAATTGTGACTAGTGTGGCTGATAAACTGATTTTTAATTTTACTTCATTTTAATTCATCTACATTTTAAGTCATGTGTGGCTAGTGGCTACCATATTGGACAGCACAGTTGTAGACCTGCCACCTTTTCCCCAGTTCTTGCCTCACTGTACTTGACATTACTCCTGCTGATGTCTTCCTGGTTTCTATTTAATTAATTATGCAGATTATTGTTACAGAACTCATTAGGGATACTACCATTGCTGATTATCTCATATGTGCAGTGCATCAGTAGCCCATTGGTCTCACCAACCACTTGCCATCTGAGTTCTTGCATAGACATTTTATCTTAAGGTTGGGGCAGAGGATATTCATCTGCTGTAGAAAAAGGAGGCCAATAAATTATTGGGAAAGTGTGAAAAATTACTTAGCCAGGAATAAAAGCTAGTAAAGTCACCGATGCCGAAAATTGCCAGGGATGACAAGGACCTGTAGATAGTCATGTGCCTCTTGTAGCTGTTTGTCTCTTTGTATGTGTACATTTTCATGTTTTCCTGAGATGTTTTGCTTAAGCATGTAAGCTCTTAAGTATTTTGTGTGTGTTTGTTTTGACATAAAACCGATACCCCCAGTCCACCCCAGGGCTCGTAATTTATACCTTGTAAATACACGGGACTTGTGGGTGGAGAGAGATTGACATATTCTGAACTGACAGAAGGCCATGTGCCAAGCAAAGTGACGATGGAGAGCCCTGCAGGATCCAGATCTTCCTGGGCCCTGGGAGCACACATTGAAGGAGCTTGAATTTTATTTTGAGTGCATTGCGGAGCCATTGGTTGATTTTAAATAGGAATGACAGATTTGTGTTCATAAAATGTCTCCGACCCTGTGGGAAATAAATCACAGGGACCAAGAGCAGAAGCAGAGTGACCAGTTGGAGACATCTTACCTTAGTAAAGGCATGATGTGATGGACCTTGGTGACAGCAGTGGAGTTGGAGAAAAATGAAAACAATTGATGTACATTTTAGAGATTGAGTCAGAAGACTTCGGTTAGACGAGGTTTGGGGCAAATCAAGAGTTCCATTTAGGACAAGTCAGTCAGGAGATGCCTAAGCAGGTCATGGCTAGAGGGGTACATCCAGGAACCATCAACAGAGAGTGGATGCTGTCACCTAGGGAGAGCGCAGAGAAGCTCTTGTGTGCTACTTTTCTTTGTATTCAGTATCCACTTGATGAAATCTTGCAAGTTTTTAAGATGTACCTTAGATTTCATTACTTTTGACACCTAAGATGAGTTTGGGTTTTGACACCTAGGATGAACTTCTTCCTTTGGTTTACATAACACCTTCATATTTTGTCACTTTTTCGTGTTTTGAGATGGAGTTTTGCTCTTGTCACCCAGGCTGGAGTGCAGTGGTGTGATCTCTGCTCACTGCAGTGTCTACCTCCCAGGTTCAAGCGATTCTTCTGCCTCAGCCACCCAAATACTGGGATTACAGGTGCCTGCCACCATGCTTGGCTAATTTTTTATAACTTTTAGTAGAGACGGGGTTTCACCATGTTGGCCAGGCTGGTCTCGTACTCCTAACCTCAGGTGATCCTCCTGCCTCAGCCTCCCAAAGTGCCGGGATTACAGGTGTGAGCCGCCGTGCCCAGCCTTGTGTTTTGTCACTTTTCACATTGTATTTATTTGCTTTTGTGCTTATTACTCCTCTGCTTCCCACCAAGTTCCTCAAGGCCACATATGTGGCTTTGATGCCACATCTTTGCATTTCCAGCATTTAATACCTTGCCTGCACATAGTAGACCCCTAGTAAATATTCTGTTGAATATTTGGCATAATATACAGCTATTGTAATTGAGGTTTTTTGGTCTTGTAAATTCAAACAGTATTCTAGGAAGTTTCATGTAACTTGGAGCTTTTCAGGTTATCAGTGATCTTTTAGTGTTATAATCTTTGTTATTAGTAACATCTTCATTTGGATGCTATTTTACATCTAGTTTAAGCACCTTAATAGATATTCATTTGATCTACCTATAACCTCTTGATTTGAATTAGGCAGGAATTATTATCATCATTTTCTATAGATAGAGAACTGAGGCTCAGAGAGTAACTTATCTGTGCCCATAACTGGGACTTGAACCCTTCATTTCTTGCTGTTATCTCAAGTGATATTTCTGCCACACTAAACTGTTTTTTCTGTGTCACTAGATTTTTGAAAAATCAATTGCTGTGATACATTATTTACTGTTTTTTCTCCAGAGCTGAATTGATCATTGTCTTCTGTTAACCTAATAGGATTTTAAAGCTGGTTAGTTGACCTCACCTGTCCAGTAGTTCTGTAGTGATATTGAGTAAGTGAAGCCTGGAAAAGTGACATGGCTTGCCCAAGACCATCCAGCTAGGTAAAGCGGGGTAGGCCCACGGTAAAAAAGAATCCCAGCCTTCTCATTTCCTGCCCAGTGGATTTCTTCCCTTCATGTACCTCCTGCTTTCCCCCACCCCATCTTTTACAGTTGATGTTTCTTTCTTTTTTCTTTCTTTTTTTTGAGTTGGAGTCTCGAACTGTCATCCTGGCTGCAGTGCAGTGGCGCAATCCTGGCTTACTGCAACCTCTGCCTCCCAGGTTCAATTGATTCTCCTGCCTCAGCCTCCTGAGTAGCTGGGATTACAGACATCCACCACCACACTCAGCTAATTTTTTGTATTTTTAGTAGAGACGGAGTTTCACCATGTTGGCTAGACTGGCCTCAAACTCCAGACCTCATGATTCACCTGCCTCAGCCTCCCAAGGTGCTGGGATTACAGGCATGAGCCACTGCACCTGGCCCTACAGTTGGTTGATGTTTCTAACATAAAGGAGATCTTTCCACTTTGTAGCAATCAGTTTACAGGTCTAACGGAAGCGTTGACATTATATTACGGAATTTATTTCTGAAAGGAGAAGGTAGGTGAGGGGGATGGGTAATATATGTATATACACAAACTTCCAGCTTTTTTTTTTTTTCTCTAAGTGTTTTCTCTCCTGGCCAGGAACAGTGGCTCATGCCTGTAATCCCAGCACTTTGGGAGGCCAAGGCAGGTGGATCACTACATGTTGAAACCCTGTCTCTTTTAACAAAATGCAAAAAAATTAGCCAGGCATGGTGATGGGTGCCTGTAATCCCAGGTACTCGGGAGGCTGAGACAGGAGAATCATTTGAACCTGGAAGGTGGAGGTTGCAGTGAGCCAAGATGGTGCCGCTGCACTCCTCCAGGCTGGGTGACAGTGAGACTCTTGTCTTGGAAAAAAAAAAAAAAGTGTTTTCTCTCCTGTTAATATATACTCATGGGGTAGCAAATTCCTTTACTAAGTATTCAGCATAAGAAAATAAAGGTTATTGGCCAAGCATGGTGGCTCATCCTTGTAATCCCAGCACTTTGGGAGACTGACGTGGGAGGATTGCTTGAGCCCAGGAGTTCAAGACCAACCTGAGCAGCATAGGGAGACCTTGTCCCTACAAAGAATTTAAAAATTTGTGGGGCGTGGTGGCACATGCCCTTGGTCGCAGCTACTCTGGAGGCTGAGGTGGGAGGATCACTTGAATCTGGGAGTTTGAGGCTTCAGTTAGTTGTGAACACATACCTATACTCCAGCCTGGGCAATAGAGTGAGACCGTATCTCCAAAAAAAAAAAAAAAAAAAGTGATGATTATTAAAACTGAAGACATCGAATCACCAAAACACTTTATTTAGCAGCACTTTTTCTGTTATCAGTATGTGCATATGTGATTTTTTTTTTTGTCTTTTCAGTAGTTTATCTCATCAGTATGGTAAATGTAAAGTCAAGTCTGCATTGTGCCTTGAACCACTTATTTAACATTTATAATGAAATACATATACACTCATCTCTTTGGTTCTACCCTTTCATTCCCTTGAGAATAACCCACAAAGAATGGTCTAGCTGAGTCAGAGAGAGAGAAAGTAATGATTAGAACAGTTGTTTTGGTTCTGTTCTGCTTCCAGCCTGAAAGATTTAGTGCCAAATATGACAGTATCTGTCACTGCAGGCTACTAGACTCTAGTGTAAGAACATACTTCCATTTCTGTGAGCTAACTGCCGCCCTTCTGTAACTTTCAGTTTCTGGCAGCATGGTCTGGAATCAAACCAATGACCTTGAGGCAGAAGTCTCCAGATAACATGATTGGTCCCCATGCTCTCATGATTTCCTTACTTAAGCAATTAAAGGCCAAAGCAAGATGCTTAGTTAACTCCTTTTCTGCATAGAAGCACAAATAAAGGACTTGTTAAAAAGAGCTAGTCATAAGTTTTAAACCAAAGAGTTACAAGAAGAATCATAATTTGTCTGTATTTAATCATTGGAAACTCTCACAGACTTCTCTGAAGTCTCCCCGTTTTGTGCCTTTCTTACAAGTGATGACTGTATATTTACCTGGCAGGGGAGATATGATCACGAAGGTGGTTTTCCCAGGGCAAGGTGTATTCGTTGCACTCCAGATGTGCTGACCGCTATGATTTCCCCAAATGTGGGAAACCTGACTGCATAATTGTGGTAGTGGGTGACTCCATTCATGCTTTCCCCTGGTTACATTTTTTTTTAATTTAAGTTATTTTAAAAATATAAAAAACAAGTTTTGACTGTATTCTGCCCTGCACCACTCTTGTTTGTCTTTCACTAGTGCAGAAATTGTGATATAGCTGTCTTCATATACCCCATGATACCTGGTACAGTAATACTCTGCATAATAATTTATTAACAAATGACTGTTGGGTGAATTAAATTTATATTTCTAAAGAAAAATGTTAACTGTAATTATTGTGATAAGAAAGCTTAGCAATTTTTTCTCCTTGAAAATTGTAATCAAACAATTAGTTTTTCAGAAATGAGTTACTTACAAATTACATATTTGAATGCAGGACAGAATCTAGACAGTATGCTCCATGGCACTGGGATGAAATCAGACTCCGACCAGAAGAAGTCAGAAAATGGAGTAACCTTGGCACCAGAGGATACCTTGCCTTTTTTAAAGTGCTATTGCTCAGGGCACTGCCCGGATGATGCTATTAATAACACATGCATGTAAGTATTTTACGAAGTCCTTCTTAAGAGTTAAGAGAATAGAGTTTACATTTAGTGCTATTTTAAGAATTATTAAACTTGTCTGAGGTTATTTTTCCTTCATATATGGTATCTTTCCAGAAAGCCAAAAAGCTTTTTGTTTTGTATATTAGAACATTACTCCATTAAGTGATTGATAGGTAAGTTACTGTATTAGAATTATGTTATACTGCAGCTTTTAAAGTAAGTTCAAAGGGATTTAGTATTTGTTTACCATCTGATTTTTTTAAATGATCTTTTAATCTTAAAGTTATTGATGCTTATTTTTGAGAACTTAGAGATTACCAAAAAAGAAACCAAAAAGCTCACCCACAGCCTGCTACTACTTTTTAATTAAAACGAATTGTTTTAAACTATAGATGGTGTCTTGCTTTGTTGCCCAGGCTGGTCCTCAAACTCCTGGGCTCAAGCATTCTTCTACTTCAGCCTCCCGAAGTGCTGGGATTACTAGTGTGAGCTGCCACACCTGGCCTCCTACTTCTTCTTTTTTGAGACGGAGTTTCGCTCCTGTTACCCCCCAGGTTGGAGTGCAATGGCACGATCTCAGCTCACCGCAACCTCCGCCTCCTGGGTTCAAGCAATTCTCCTACATCAGTCTCCCGAGTAGCTGGGACTATAGGCTGCGCCACCATGCTCAGCTAATTTTTGTATTTTTAGTAGAGACGGGGTTTCACCATGTTGACCAGGATGGTCTCGATCTCTTGACCTCGTGATCCACCCGCCTCGGCCTCCCAAAGTGCTGGGATTATAGGCGGGAGCCACCATGCCCGGCCCTCCTACTTCTTAATTGGTTGAAATGCTTTGCAGATATATGAGAACCATATTGTGTTAGTTAATTTTACACTTTTTTCTTAACCTGTGAACTTACGAATCCAAATCTGATTTATAAAACTATTTTAATTTTTCTACTGTATTTTATGTTAACTATGAAACATGTTTATGTATGATCATGTAATTCTAGTACATATTTGTTGGAGGCACTGATGTATTGACTTAATAAAACCAAAAAAATCCCCTGAACAACTCAGCCTCATCAGTCAGTTAATTGTCTCCTTGTTATAAAGACAATAATGAATGTTGTGTTTTGTATTTTCTTAATAATTATATGCTCCTTGAATGGACCAGATAGAAAGCATGTAAACTCGTGAACCTATGTGATGACCACCGGGTCTTAGGTTTGCTACTTGTTCCCTCATGGTGGTGGGCTCTGTGTGGCTGAGGTGACTAGTTTTCCATTTACACCTTCCTGGGAGTTTGCCTGCAGGGGACTGCTCCCCACTATGTCACCAAATAATCTTTTGCGAAACTTCTTGCCTGTAGCACCTGCCTGATACAATGGGTTTTCTGTGAGTACCTTAGTAACCCAGAGTAAAACTGAATCATCTATTTTAACAGAATTCTACCCCACACTTAACATTTTCTCCTAACAGAAAACAAAGAATTCTGCAAAATTCTTCTAAGTAGAAGCAGCACAATTCCTGATACTAACAATAAATAGGAGTATAGAAAAAGCTCTTAGAAATTTCTCTCATACCTGTTAAAGTCTATACGAATATATTAAGGGGAAACTCCAGGACACTAACACTAAAATGATACGAATTTCATTAAATATAGGTATGTAAATTGATTGAAAGGTTATTCCAAAGTTCTCTCTGTTTTCCTATCATATTCAGTAAAAGATGCCTTTCAGGCTCTTGATTAATCTGTTCTTCCCAATTTCCACCCCCCCCCCTTTTGTTTTTGGTCATTGAGTCTATTTGTGTGTTTCAGAGAAAAGTTCGTTTTTATCTATTATCATGTACAATATGGAAATACTGAAAATATGAGTAAAAAGAGACAAGTTATTTTAAAGTATATTTTCCAAACATGACTTACCTTATAAAATTTTATAAATCAGCTTTCTGTGATCACATGCCTGTGATTAGCAAAGAAAAATCACATAACTCACATGTAGAGGACTTGTTTAACAGAAATCCTTTTCTACTTGACATAGGATTGTCACTGGCTTTTTAGATCTTAGATCAGACATAACTTTCATTTGTCTTAAAACCTATTTGACTTTGCCAATAAATCACATGTGAATGCAATTCTGAATCACAAAACAAAATATTAAAGGCCATCCATACCTGTTCACATTCAGACTCAAATTTCATTAGTACTTTTTATGTGAATTTATGTTTCATTTTTTTTTTTCTGTTTTAGAACTAATGGACATTGCTTTGCCATCATAGAAGAAGATGACCAGGGAGAAACCACATTAGCTTCAGGGTGTATGAAATATGAAGGATCTGATTTTCAGTGCAAAGTAAGATATAATTTGGGACCCATGAGACAAAGGGAGGGGCCGCATGAAAGCATGATTTCTCCCTAAGAGAAACATGCCTGAGGCACACATTGCTGTATGTTCACATCAGTAAATGCGTTGGAGGAATGTATACTGTCTAGATTGTGTCCTGTATTCAAATATATAATTTATAAATAAATCATTTCTGAAAAGCTAATTGATTACAATTTCCCTTTTTTCCTTTTTTTTCTTCCATAGACTGTGTCTGGCTCTGTTGTCCAGGCTGGAGTGTAGTGCTGCGATCTCTGCTCACTGCAACCTCAAACCAGCCTCTCACCTCAGCTTCCTGAATGGCTGAGTCTACAGATGCATGCCACTACACCTGGCTAATTTTTGTTTTTTTGTAAAGATAGGGTTTCACCATGTTGCCCAGGCTGGTCTCAAGCTCCTGGGCTCAAGCGATCTGCCCGAATTGGCCTCCCAAAGTGCTAGGATTACAGGTGTGAGCCACTGTGCCCAGCGTGATTACAGTTTTCTTTTTTCCCTACTCGGGAGGCTGAGGCAGGAGAATTGCCCGACCCTGGGAGGCAGAGATTGCAGTGAGCCGAGATCTTTCCACTGCACTTCAGCCGGGGCCACAGTGAGACTCTGTCTCAAAAAAAAAAAAAAAAACAAAGATAAATAAAAATCTTTTTTTAAGTTTCAACCATCTTTGGCTACTGATTACAACTTTCAATGAGAAAAAGTTTCTAAGATTTCTTAACACAATAATTGCAGCTAACTTGTTTCTTTAAAAATAAAAATTTTATTTAAGTAATACGATTATCATAATTGAAATTCCAGATTATTTTACTATAAAAAGTTTTAAATCATTCTCAGTTGTCATGACTGCAAAAATGATATTTTCACACTTATTTGTAGATTATAACATTTACTGAAAAGACTTGTGAGATATTGGCAATAACCTTTGTATCATTCGGAGACAACTTAGAAATGTTAAAGATATATTGCAAACTCAAGGGAAACAACTAAAATTGAAAAAAAAATGTTAAGGCCTTGTAAGGAGGTGTTAGTGGGGCTACTTTAAAAGCAGCAGCAAAGGAATCAGGATGGTAATAGCTTATGAGCATCCTGATGGCCCTCGGTTATAAACCTGATCGCTTCAAAATTCTGTGTAATAATTTTGTCCCAGGAGATCCTTCCAGTGTTTCCAAACACCAGCTCCAGATGGAATTGTTTGTGCATAATTTAAGTCCGAGCTATGTTAGAAAATTGTTACTGTTATTTAGAAATTCTCAGGATGGATAGAAACCTTAGAGGTTACATGTTTCAACCTCTCGGCTAATATTTGGAATCACCCTCTTTGCAAATGACTGCAAATCTGTCTTCCTGTCTGACTCTTTGGACCATAGAGAACAAACCTAATCTCTCTTTAAGGTGACAGCCCTTTACTAAGTAAAAAAAGTGCTTCATCCTGCTAGTCTTTGCCCAGTGAAAATAGTAGTTCACAGTGACCTCAGCTGCTCCTTATATGATCAGCTTTGGAGTTATTCACTCTCCACTTCCTCAGTGTAATAGGCAGAATTGAGTGTGGTCTGACCAAGGAAAAAAATAGAGAATAAATAACCCTGTTCCCTTTTTCTAAACACAGCCAAGTCTCGTGTTAGATGTTTGGCAGTCACACCATATTCTCAAACCATTGAGCTTTCTGTCGGCTGAAATCACCCTGTTACTCATGCGGCTGCTGAGCCACATCTCCTCCACTCTTCATTGGTGCTGTTGGTTTCTTCACACAAACAAGTAGATGGGAATGGAATGAGTTTTCCTATTTAGTTGTTATATACTTGCCTATGTGAATTTTATCTTATAAGTATCCTTTTTTCTAATTTGTTGGGATTTAAAGGATGCTAATTTAGTTGTTCCAGTTTTAGGCTATTTGCATATTTATCAACCACACATACTATACATTTTTTTAATCACTTAAAAAATTGAATAAAGAGCTATGGTTAGGGCACTGAGCCCAGCAGTAATAACCAGTGTCCTACAGGCCCCAAGAGTAGGCCTGTCCTAGACTGAATTTACCATTATAAGTTAGTAGTTAAACTTGACAAGCTGTTCAAGTCTATATACTGCTGTGAACCTTTGGGCAAGGCACTCAGCTCTCTTGTTTTCTCATCCATGAAGGAATTATTATAAGAATCAAGTGATATACATGTGAATAGTTTAGCATAATTGGCACATAGTAAGGGCTTAATAGGTGTCAGCTTTGACCATATTGATTCTTTAACAGCCGTCTTCACACTGTTACCCGTATCCCTGGGTACACTCAAACTGTGTTATACAAGGGTAACAAGCACGTAGATAGTTTTAAGGGAATTGGTTTTTGGATCCTGAACTTTCGTAGGTCCTGTTGCTGAATATTTCTCTGCCTGAGAACAGAAACTTCTCAAGCATTTTCCAGCAGTTCTCTTTCCCTTCCTCTCTTTTCATAGTCACCACCTCCTAGTTTACAAATTGAAGGCCTGAGGTGTAAAACTTCAAATTTCCAAACTGTGTTGTAATTTGAAATAAAGACATCAGTATAGGCTATGTGGGGATATCAAATAAGTGTTTACCTGACAGATGGTTTTCAGTTGTTTGCTTTCAACCAAGTTGCTTGATCATTGAAAATAATTTTTGATGATAGAATCTTTACGGCATTTTTAGCATAGGCTTTGGAAGGACTTTAGGCAATTACGGGCTGGCTCACGCCTGTAATTCCAGCACTTTGGGAGGCTGAGGCGGGCAGATCACTTGAGCTCACAAGTTTGAGACCAGCCTAGGCAACATGGCAAAACCCCGTTTCTAATAAAACTACAAAAATTAGCTGGACGTGGTGGCATACACCTGTAATCCCAGTTACTTGGAGGGCTGAGGCAGGAGAATCGTTTGAACCCAGAAGGTGGAGGTTGCAGTGAGCTGAGATAGCATCACTGCACTCTAGCCTGAAGACTCTGTCTCAAAAAAAAAAAAAAATGCTGAGATGGGAGGATGGCTTGAGCCTGGGAGTAAGCTGAGATCATATGACTGCACTCCAGTGTGCAGAGTGATATAGCCAGATCTTGTCTCAAAAAAAGAAGAAAAATGCCTTTTCCGGTAACATTTTCTTAAGTTTATATTTAATAAAGATTGTAACATATATATTGTTTTGATCAATTTTATGGTAATAATGATTATGATAAATGAGAATAATTTTCTAGGACTTAAAGACATATAGTTACAGGAAATAAGAGAATTTATGTACTTACTTTAATGTGGACAGTTATATATTACTTTAGGACATAATTATTGTGGGAGATACTGAAAGGAAATAAGAGTTAAAGAAGAAATAAGAGTTCTAGTATAAAATATCTCACTGTTAAAAGAAGCATTTGTTCATTTTTTTTAGAAATGATGATAATGGGTATCAAATTACAATGCTATTTAGATTCTACTGAGTGCATTAGAAACTGATATAACACTTCTATTTGAAAATGATGTAATACTTCTATTTCAAAGTGTCATTGTGTGCAGTAAGCCAGAAATTATTAAATTTATAGTGAAAATTTTTAGGTATCACCTGAAAAATATGTGAGGGTACATTGCTTTTAAGAATTGGGTTATATATCAGCAAAAATTTTGACCAGCACTTACCTAATTTTCTGTATTTCTTGGTAAACATCACCCAAGTAGAGCAACTCACCCAAGCACAGCTCTCTCATGCTCATCCTAAACCTTTCACCAGTGCCTTCACATACTGCCAAGTGTGGTGCAGAACAGACGTGAGTGCCTGTCCCTAGGCCTCGCATTCTTGGTGTGGCACAGAACAGCTGTGAGTGCCTATCATCAGGCCTCACGTTTCTGGCATGGTGCAGAACAGATGTGAGTGCCTATCCCCAGGCCTTGTGTTCCTTCCACTCCCCAGGCTGCACTGGTAAATTTTGCTTACCCTGTTTCCTCCTATATGACAAATTATTTTTCAGAAACCTCGCTACCAGTCAGGCACAGTGGCTTATGTTTATAATCCCAGCACTTTGGGAGGCTGAGGAGGGTGGAGCATGAGATCAGGAGATGGAGACCATCCTGGCCATTGTGGTGAAACCCCATCTCTACTAACAGTATAAAAATTAGCTGGGCATGGTGGCGAACACTGGCAGTCCCATCTACTCGGGAAGCTAAGGCAAGAGAATTGCATGAACGAGGGTGTTGGAGGTTGCAGTGAGCTGAGATTGCGCCACTACACTCCATCCAGCTTGGCGACAGAGCGAGATCCATCTCAAAAAAAAAAAAAGAAACCTAGCTGCCATTCCCACAAGAATTTGTATTCTCCACAAATACAAATTGAATATAGAAATACAAGTTGACTTGGGCAGAGGGTAGGAGTAGAGAGTGCAGGAAAAGGAAAGGCTGTGTCACCCAAATTTGTAATCTAGACAAACCAGAGTTTTGCCGACCCAGATACATAGTTAACCTGAGTAAGACAAACATGAGATGAATCAGGTGTTGCTTATTCTTAGTGAAGCCACGTTGGGTCTTTAGGGGCTCATAAGATTTTTGGCCTAGTCTAGAACCTCATCTGGGATTCATGTCAAGCTCAGAGGAAGGGAAATTAATTTATTGAGTATTTGCTATATGTGTATAGTATCTTGGGGATTCAGTATATTCTACCTTGTTTCCCCTAACAATACTATACAGCAGATTTTTTTTTTTAAGACAGGATATTGCTCTATCACCCAGGCTGGAGTACAGTGGCACAATTACAACTCACTGCAGCCTCAAACTCTTGAGCTCAAGCGGTCCTCCCACCTCAGCCTCCTTAGTAACTGGGACCATGGAGGTGCTTCCATACCTGGCTAATTTTTTATTTTTATATTTCTGTCGTATAGCTGTGATTATACCTGGCTAATTTTTAAATGTTTTTAGAGATGGGGTCTCGCTCTGTTGCTCATCCTGGTCTCAAACTTCTCTGCTCAAGCCATTCTGCCACCTAAAGTGCTAGGGTTACAGATGTGAGTCACTGTGCCCTGCTCATATTTTTTTAACCTGTTTTTTTTTTTTTTTGGAGACACAGTCTTGCTCTGTCGCCCAGTCTGAGCAGTGTCATGTCTAGAGTGCAGTCTGGAGTGCAGTGGCATGATCTCGACTCACTGCAACCTACATCTCCCTGATTCAAGCAGTGATCCTGCCGCAGCCTCCCGAGTAACTGAGACTACAGGTGCCCGCCATCACGCCCAGCTAATTTTTGTATTTTCAGTAGAGACGAAGTTTCACCATCTTGGCCAGGCTGGTCTTGAACTCCTGACCTCAAGTGATTCACCCGCCTTGGCCTCCTAAAGTGTTGGGATTACAGGCATGAGCCACCGCTCCCAGCTAGCCTGTATTTTTTAGCACATTAAAGCCCAGAGATAAATTACTTGGTCAAGGTCACAAAGTGAATAACTGGCAAAGGTAGGATTCCAATTGTTTGATTCCAAAACCCTTGTATTTTCTGTAATATTGAGACCTTATCTCAATATGCTGCCTTAATCTGTTGGCAGAGTCTATTTTTGTGTTCTTTTTAAAAAATATTATTACTGTTTTTAGAGATAGGGTCCCACTCTGTTGCCCAGGCTGGGCTTGAACTCCCAGGTTCAACTGATCCTCATGTGTCAACCTTCCAAGTAAGTGGAACTGTAGGCACACACAGTCATACCCAGCTTTTACTCAGCTTCAAGTCTACTTTTTTTCCCTTTGAAATAAAAGTAATATAACATTCAGTTATCTATTATAGTTTCCAACTCTCCTTCTTTCTAAAGTCTTTAAATCACACCTGTCTTTCAGCCATCTCTTTTACAAGTGCTGTCATCTTCCTGGGATATAATTCACCTGGGTTAGAAGATAGGAACTCATAGAATACAAAAGCATCGTAAGGTCTCTTCATACATTTGGGATGTCATTTTCCACCTAGTAGTGTTTGAGCTACTTTCGTCATCCCTGTCAGCATCCTTCGCAGAGAAGAAGAAACAAGACAGGAGTTGAAGAATTGTACATTTTTGTCCTCATCGCCTACTATCATGTGGCGATGATACATCTGTTGCCTAGTAATCCTTTTCCCCATGCTGCCAGAGAAACCCTTTCTTGGTTTTTCTTCCCACTTTTCTCTTCTGCAAGGCCAAGCTCATTTTAGCTTTCCTGGAACCCTTCTTGGATGCTTGGCACTTCTTTCATTCATCATTAGTTATGTGCTTTTCATTTCATTAGTCGTGTAAGTTTTCTCTGAATCTGGGATTATTTCAGACTCTCCAGTTTAACCCTAACTCTTCTCTCTCTCTCTGTATGCTCAATTAAAAGTAAAAATTGTTTAAAATTTATTAATAAAACTTAAATGTAAACATGTATTTGGAGATTTCCAGATGCTCTTGACCATCTTGCCAACAGAAACTGAAGTCATGGGCTCATGTTCACCTTTTTAAAGTCATAGCCAATTATATTGAGGCTTTTCCTTTCTGGCCATCTGATATTAAGAATAACATGGTTAATTTGTGCTTACATTCTTGCTACTTGTATAGTGGCAAACAGTTCTTTTCTGTTCACATGTTGGTCCAGAATGGCAGTTCTCCCAGGCTGTGCTGAAATGGCAGCATTCAACTTGTCAGATACTGTATTGTTAATCAAATAAAACATCACTTGTAAGTGCTGCTGCCTTTCTGATGACTGTCCTTCTCTGTGCCAGCTTTCTACTATCTTAGGGACAGTCTCCTCTCTGGTTGGTGGCCTCTAATCAGCTTTCAGGAATGCTTTCTGTAGTTTGCCTTTCTCTCACCATGGATGCTCAACTTGTCTCCACGTCGACCTCATGGCTAGTGTAGGCAGGGTCTGCAGCGGCCTCTGCACGCTCCACCGCCTTGCTAACCAGCCTTTTCTTTGGACTAGGACACCCCCCACTTTTTAGTCTGATCATAAATCTCATCCATATCTCAGTACCACAGTGAGATCATATGTACCAGATCAGTTTATGATAGCAATTACCTCAGCTCAGATTTGATGTTCTAGTCTAGTGTCTAACACACCATCCACATGGAGATGTTCTTAGGAAAAACCATTTTCCAGTTTTCACTATTTCAGCACAAATTTAAGTCTTTCAGTAATCTGTTTCTACATATAAAATTTGCAAGTCCTTTTCACACACTGAATTAGAAGTTGTATTTTATGAATACTAAAAAGATTTATTATCAGTTTAAAATACCAAACCATTTCTAATTTTACCATTACTCTTCTTTTAGGATTCTCCGAAAGCCCAGCTACGCCGGACAATAGAATGTTGTCGGACCAATTTGTGTAACCAGTATTTGCAACCCACACTGCCCCCTGTTGTCATAGGTAGGTTAGCCAAGAAAAGTCAGAGCATGATTCTAGTCAAATAACTTCTCTGGTTTTACAGTAACCAAGCTACCTAGAATTTAACACTACAGATTATTTTTTCATTTCATTGTTTGTTTCATTGTTTACTTTCATTGTCAGGTCCATTTTTTGATGGCAGCATTCGATGGCTGGTTTTGCTCATTTCTATGGCTGTCTGCATAATTGCTATGATCATCTTCTCCAGCTGCTTTTGTTACAAGTAAGAAGATTTTTATTTTGAAGCAAAATATTTTGTCAAATATTAGATGTCAACTGCTATTTGTAAAGCCAGTTGCAGAAACCATTAACTTATATTCTCTGGTTATGTATCTCCTTTATGTAAGTAGACTATAGTTCTCTTAAGGAAAAAGGATCTTACGACCAATTAATTAATTGGGCACAATTTCATACTTCTTGTGTGTTCATGAATACTTATAATTTTCTTATTAATGGAATAGTGAGCTTTCTTGTATATGAATGTTTTCAGTCTGTCCCAAGAAGCCCACTTTGTTACATTTCTTTAGAAATTTGGAGCTTCAGAGTTATTTGCATGTAGCCATGATTTCAGAAGACAGTTGCCAAAAAAGAATAATAATAAGAGACAGTCCCTAATGGACATAAACTTCAATAATAAAACATTATCATACTGACTTAGATGGATTAATGAAACAAGTTAGTAAACCCACAAATAAACTCAAGTATATAAAGAAATTTAGTGTATGGTAAAGGAAACACTTCAGATTACCGAGGAAAAGACGTTCACATACCTCCATGTTTTTATTATAATTCTTCACTCACAACAATGGGGTTCCACAGTTGAGAAACTGTGTTTTGGGTCTTTCCAGATAATAGACTTGAAACCTTCTGTTGGGGAGGTGATGGGAAAGTCACAAGATTATTTAGACTAGGAGATGCGTTGGAGAGGAGAGCTCCACATCTGAGGTAGCCAGCATCCCAATTGGCCCCTAGTGATCCTCACTGCCTGGGGTTCCTCCCCTTGGTCAGTCCCCTCATGTAACACATCAGGGCTGATCTGTGTGACAGATAGGATATGGCAAAAGTGACTTCCGAGTCTACATTATAACAGCATTGCAGCTTTCACCATGGTCTCTGGGATCACTCACTCTGGGGGAAGCCAGGCATCATGCTGTGTGGACACTTAGCACTGAGAAAGGCCCACACAGGGAGGAACTGAGGCCTTCTGCCAGTACCCAGCCTGCAGCCTGTCGGCCTTGGAAGTGAGCCGCCTTGGAATTGACTGCAAGCTCCTGTCAAGCTTTCAGATGAGTGTAGTCTCAGCTGCCGTCTGACTCTGAGCTACCCAATCAAGTCACTTCTGAATTCGTGATCCGCAGAAACAGGGAGATAACAATTGCTGTTTTAAGTCACTTAGTTTGGGAGTGGCTTGTTAACACAGTAGTGAATAATTCAGTGTCTGACTTTCTGAAAATTGACTTTCAAGAAGTCTTCTTAGTGTAATTGTCACCCTCAACTTTACTTCCAGAGATACCCTCAATGGCCAGTTCCTAAGTTCTTGGGGAACTCCATAATGTAAACTGGTTGCTTCTTGGTTTTCTCAATTTCTAGCCTAAGAATCCGACTTTTTCGGTCTGCAAAGTCAATACTCATTCATCTGCTTCATGAATTCCAAAAATGTTTACTGTTATTTTATCTTTTCTCCTTGCTTATTAGACAAAGAAGGTAAAAATTATTTATTGCTGTTTTAGTGGGCCAGTAAAAGCAAGCAAGTATGCTCAATCTGCTATTTTAAGCTAAAAGTCCCTTTGTCAAATAGCTGAATCTTTGCCAGTAAGACAAGTGATAATATTTCAAGGTGATTTTAATTTATATTTTTCATATAAAAATACTTTTTTTTACACATTTTTTCCTTTATTACACAAGGGTACTGTAATGTATATATTATTTTGTTATGTTATGTTATTTATTTAGAGACAGAGTCTCACTCTGTCTCCCAGACTGCAATGCAGTGGCACGATCTTGGCTCACTGCAAACTCCGCCTCCCAGGTTCAAGCGATTCTCATGCCTCAGCCTCGCAAGTAGCTGGGATTACAGGTATGCACTGCCATACCTGGCTAATTTTTGCATTTTCAGTAAAGATGGGGGTTTCACCATGTTGACCAGGCTGGTCTCAAACTCCTTACCTCAAGTGATCCACCCACCTCGGCATCCCAAATTGCTGGGATTGTAAGTGTGAACCTCTGCACCTAGCCTGTAATGTATATAGTAAAATATTGTTAAATATCCTTTTATTTTTCTTTTAAGAGAAAAGCCATCTATATTTTTATTTAAATCATGTATTCATTTTGGGAGACCTGTTTTTCCATTGAATTGCTTAGATTTTTTTCTCTGATTTATAGAAGCTCTTTATATTCAGAAATCAACCCTTTGTAATATGAGCTACCTGTAATTTTCTTTTTTTTGTTTTTTTCATGCTGCATTACTGCAGAGCATCCTATACTTTTCATTGTGGTGTGTCTTCAGACTGCTTGCAATGCTTTCAGCTACGTAGTATAGAACCCTGTCAGCCAGGTGTGTGCTCTCTAAGCAATAGATAAGATGTTTCTTCTTAGGGAAATCTGTTCAGCCCAAGAGATAAAACCTAAAAATGTTGTTGTTAACGCCCAGTGAAATGGTCCAGGCAGATTATCTTATAGTGAGGCTTGTAATCAGTAAACCCTACCCATATACTAGCAGTTGCCAATGAGGATATCAGGCTGTGAAGAATACTGATCTGTGAGAAACAGGAAACAAGTGAGGTGAGCCTTGTGATTGCCCACTGTCTCCCTGAATAGAGTTTTGGGTTGGGCAACATAGGGGGAACCCAGGTGTACCCAGCAGGCTGTCTCAGTCGAGGAGTTGTGGCCAGAGTCTAGGGAGTCAGTTGCCATTGTAGTTCGTAGGCCAGAGTGCTGGAGAGGAGCGGGCCTCACAGAGGGCTCCAGACCTGCAGAGGATAACCATCAAACACTCAGCTGGGTACTGAGCAGCACTGGCATGTGAGGAAGCCACCAAGCCTGGGGAAAGAACACCTGAAGTGATTGCGGAAACAGTGTTTGGTGCTCATACAAGGCCGGGAGTAAGGTCTGTTCCCACCAGTTGTGACAGCTGAAAACCTCATAATTCATAGGCTTTGATTGAAAGACTCGGGAGGATTTTGCCTCATTGGTGGGGAATAATTAGCCCTAGACTAAGTATGGCTCTGGTCTCACCTTAAAAGCAAGCCCCAAAGGGATCATGTCATTTCCAAGTCACTGTATCATAGAACAAAATTAAACAGTATTTATAGGGATATAAAAATATCTGGCGCCTAGCAAGGTAGAATTTACAATATCTGCCATCCAAAAAAATGAATACTAAGTATGCAAAGAAATAGGAAAATATGGCCCATAATGAGGAAAGAAATGAAACAACCAAAACCACTGACCCAGAACTGATACAGACTTTAGAATTAGCAATGACATTAAAATAGTTTTTATAACTGTACTCACAAAAGTTAAATCAAGACATGAAAGATTTTGTAAAAGACCAAAATGAAACTTTTGGAAATGAAATCTATAATATCCGAGATGAAAAATATACTAGATCAAATTAGTGACAGACACTGTAGAAGAAAAGATGAGTGAACATGAAGACATAGCAATGAGTAGAGAATCAGTGAGTTGTGGGACAACTTCAGATGGCCTGCTAGAGATATAATTGGAATTCCCAGAAGAGGGATGAAAAACATATGAAATAATGATCAAATTTTTTCAATTTATTAATTATTATTTTGAGGCAGGGTCTTGCTCTGTCACCCAGGCTGGAGTGCAGTGGCACAATCTCAGCTCACTGCATTTTCCACCTCCTGGGTTCAAGCGATTCTCATGCCTCAGCCTTTCAAGTAGCTGGGATAACAGGCATGTACCACCAAGCCTGGCTAATTTTTGTCTTTTTAGTAGAGGAGTTTCACCATCTTGGCCACGCTGGTCTCAGACTCCTGGCCTCAAGTGATTCACCTGCCTCAGCTTCCCAAAGGACTGGGATTACAGGCAAGAGCCACCATACCCACCTTTTTCAAATTTAATGAAAACCATAAACCCATATATCTGAAAGCTGAAATAAAAAACCCATATAGCTAAAAGCTCAATAAACGCTGAGTACAAAAAACATGAGGAAAACTGCATTAAAAGCACATGAGTGTATTGCTCAAAACCAGTAATAAGGAGAAAATATTAAATGCAGCAAGAAGGAAAAAAGGCAGATAATCTATTACAGAGGCACAAAGTTAAGGATGACAGCAGACCTTTTGTTGGAAACAGTGCAGTCAAGAAGATAATGAACCAGCATCTTTAAAGTGCCCAAAGAGGCGAGGTGGTGGCTCATGCCTGTAATCCCAGCACTTTGGGAGGCCAGGGCAGGTGGATCATGAGATCAGGAGTTTGAGACCAGCCTGGCCAACATGGTGAAACCCCGTCTCTACTAAATACACAAAAAATTGGTAAGGTGTGCTGGCACATGCCTGTAATCCCAGCTACTCAGAAGGCTGAGGCAGGAGAATTGCTTGAACCTGGGAGGCAGAGGTTGCAGTGAGCTGAGATTGCACCATTGTGCTCCAGCCTTGGGTGAGAGGGCGAGACTCTGTCTCCAAAAATAAATAAAGTACCCAAAGAAAAATGTCACAGATCTTGAATTATATACTCAGAGAAAATATTCTTCAAAAATGAAGGTAATGTGAAGACTTCCGGTCATACAGAAAGCTTGAAAGAACTCCGAACCCTCAGACCTACACAGCAAGAAATGTGAAGGGAAGTTCTTCGGGTGGAAAGACAGGCCAGGTGGAGATAAGAATCCACATTAAAAAAATGAAGAACTGGAAATGGAGATCCAAGTGACCCTGACACAGACTAACAGTATCTTTTAAGATGAACAGAAAAGACCACTCATCTTAGACTCAGGCCATGCACACTCAAGTGAGTGACCTATAACACTTCACAGAACACACAATCAGATGTCAGGAACTGATCATTTAGGCTTTTTTATACACATTATGTAGAACTTTGTAACTGCTCTGTTTATTTAGCTTTCGAACTTCATGTGCTAGTTTACGTGAAGATTCATTATTGATCAGATATACAAAATCTGTAATTTGGGATATTCACTCATATTTAGCTGAACTTTAACGAGTCACAAGTTGTTCTCCGCAGCAAACTGTAAAAGGG